ACAACACGTGCATGTGTAAAGCATACATTACGCATAGTCGAAATTAGAAAATTGCAACAAGAAAACTATTTGATGTGTATTCGTGATATTTATAATGACGAGGAATTTGATTTAAATCATATGAAAGACGGAGTACATCGTGATTAAATACTACATTTAGTAAGGAATTATAAGCCAAATAAAATAAAAACATCTGCCCTGAAGATAAGGATAGTGCCGACAGATCAACTTCCAGTTGATTGCACGCCGCAACTCCCCCCCCCCCCGCACAGAGCTGCGTGAAATTGATAAATTCATTTCGGAATGGTTAGAGAAATAAAGAATATGCCTTTATCCATTTTTTGCAGCAATTCCGCTTTTTGTTTGATGGACATCGAAACATGCTTTTGCTTTGTAGATCCTTTGACAGCTCCAGAATCGGAAATTCTTTTTATCATAATCGAAAGTTCAAGCTTACTTTTATAAAACGCTCTAACAGTCTGCAAAAAATAAGCCGGATCCAATTCGAAGATTAAGAAACAACGCAATCTGCAACATTAAGTGAAATAGATAATTAGATAATTTTAGCTTAGCTTATACCGTCCGTTATACATTAAACGCGCATGCGTAAACGTATTACGTGCATGCCTAAATGCATATGAGCATGCGTAAAGGTATTATACGTTTACACATGCGCAGAAAGTTTGTAGCTTTGAGGTCCGGATTATAGATCATTTCGGATTATGGACGTCTGGATTAAAGACTTTTGACTGTACTTCAATTTTTATTAAAAAATTAATACACTGTTTTAAAAAATTGCTGAGATATTTATTGCCACATAGGTTTTAATGTTAAATAATTATATCCTATAAGACTTATTTGAAAATATTTGAGTTTTAGTAATATTTTAATTCTTTTAAATGTTGGTATGATGTTTTTAATTTGATATTCAATTTAAGTAATATTTTAATCCAATTAAACGTTGGTGCAATGTTTTTATAGCAGCGTTTTTATTCTATTTCTTTGCTATATGAAAGTAATAATTTAACCTTATTTTAGTATTTTATACTTTTAATAAATGTATTTATTTACATTTGCAAGCCAAAAATAATCCATTATTTTTAATGATATTTATTTTTTAAAAGTTTCGAATACTTTACTATGTGTAAAATACGTAAAAACAATGTTTTTCAAGATGGCTGACGATTTTAAAAACTGCACCAACAATTGCGGCAATGTAAATCGCCAAAAATCCGTGTAACCGTCTACCAAAGAAACACCTACAAAATAAATAAATAAAAGTACTTGCCTCGGATGTTCTTGGCTATGTGTCATCATCAGTGTCTGATGATTTCTGTGCGTACATAATGAAAATCATGTAGTCCCGGAAATTGATCCTCCTTCTCCTGATCTCAGTATTGGTGATGCCACATAACTCTGGAAAGTGAGAATACAGAATGTCATCTGACAATTGCCGAAAACCCCGCTTGTGAAAGCTCTTGCTTAATGTAGCTCCATATGTCCTCATTGGTGTTGGTATGAGTACCAGTTTAGAGCGCCTTTTCTCGTGACAGATCCACTCATAGCTATTGAATTGATAATAGCTTGGCCGGACACATATCTTCCATATAAACTTGACATCTATAATAAGAACTAATTAATTATAATAAGTTCCAATCAGATTAAACTTAAGAAAAACATTGGCATGTAACAAGAAAGTGGAAAAACAGTTCCCATAAAATTGGGGAAATAGTCTATTCTGGGTTACCAGAAAACCAGTAACAGCATCAGTATTTGGTGCCAAATCAAAGGCAAATCAAATATTTTCTACACTAGAACCAAACTGTTAAGTTTTAAAAAAATAATCCATGATTTTTAAATTATTGAATTTCTCTGCTATCATCTACTAAGTTAAGGACTCAGTGCTGAAAGTGATTAAAGTTATACCACATATTGTTGGCACATTATTGGTGTGTTTGATGTATTTATTTTCTTACCTTTGATTCAATACTAATTGAAATGGAAGGAGGAGAAAACACCAACCTACATTATTTTTTAAAATTTTTGTATGTAAACTTCCATCATTTTCTTTCTGTTTTGTAGCATGTGTCAGTTTTAAGGTTAGGATGAGGTTAACAAGGAATTAGTACATACCCCTCTCATATAATTATTCTAATTATTCACTGTGTTATGATTCACTTAAAGCAAGCTTTGGTTTTCAGAACTCAACAGACATTAATTCATCACATATGTTTGAGTAAATGAATCAGCAGTAATGAAAGGAATGTGTGATTCAGCAAACCGCATTTGTGTTCCCCTTCCCCAATGCCAACAAAGGCTTCATATCAGCTTTAAATCACATTTTAAGTTTATGAAGTGGTTATTTGAAGTCATACTTTCTTTGTGAAAAATATATCTTAAAAAAAAAATATCCCCTTTTTCAAGACAAAACTCAAGTCGTGAAATCCATTACATATGGTTTCTTACATATCCCACTTTTTATACATTTTTTCACTAAAATTTTGTTCCTCAATTTATTATTTCTAATTGAACGGATATTTCTTTCTTCCTCATCTTTTTTTTTTTTTGAAGTCTCTTGCAAAATATAGGTTATAGTTTAAATCTTATAAAATTTTTGTAAGCCTTGTAAAATAATATCGTCGTAGTTTTTTTGGTTATGTTGCATATCAATGAATGTGCTACTGTTGCATTTTTCATGTAACAGCAACAACCAACATTCATACAACAGCAATAGTAAGCAAATTTAAAGCAATTTAACTATGTCTTTTATTTCTGCTTTTGTTCTATTTCATGTTGTTATTGTCTGCAGTTTCTTTTTAGCATAGTTGATTGTGATAGTGCACTTTATATGCTCAATCTTCACTAGAAAAAAAAAAAAAAAAAAAAAAAAAAAAAAAAAAATTCAATCAATTTTATGTGCCCAATCTTCACTAGAAAATCAGTATCAAATTGGAAAAAAGTGTTTGAGGGCAAAGAAGATTTTCCAAGGACTTCTTCACAGAAGTAAGAATCCCAGGCCAAACACAATTAAATATTCTTAAGAAATGAAAAGCTATGGTTTCATGGATTAAGCCAAAACTAGATGAAAACCAGGCAAATTGCACATTGTGTCAGAAGGATTTTAATGTTTTGCTCATTGAACAAGGTGAACTGAGGAAATACAAAGGAGATAAAAATAAAGAAAAATTTAATTCTGCATATTTAAATAAACAAATTTAATTCTAGCATAGATAGAAATTTTGATAATGATTTCAAATTTCTTCTTGGAGTGGTCTCTGAATTTACCACCACTTTTGATACACAAGCAAATAGCTAAAAAATGTTAGAATGACATATAGGGAAATAAATATAATTCTAATGTTTTAAAATAACTCTTGATTACTTAATAAATTACTTATTAAATTTAGTATTTTTAGTTTGTAATCATGAAAAATTCCAAGTATCATATTTCAACAAAAATATCCATTTGGACTGCTGCCGATTGCAATTTAACTATGTTTTTGCATGAGATTTGTAAATAAGGGCTCTTTTTCTGCAAACAGATTATAAAATTTATTTAAAGTGGATTCAGAAGAGATATTTTCGTGACGTCTGTACATACGTATGTATGTATTTATCTCGCATAACTCAAAAAACAGTATAACGTTGAAATTTTGTATATAGGACTGCTATAACATGTAGTTGTGCATAGCCACCCCAAAAGTGTATATAATTATATATATGTATATACACATATACTCTGTTACTGAGATCGGTAAGCTCAGATTTTTTTACGTCCTTGTCCGAAGGAAAGGAACTATTGTAATCTCGAAAATTTCAGCCATCATATTTCAGTGAAAATATTGATTTTGACTGCTATCGAATGCAATTTAATGATATCTTTGCGTGACATCTGTATGTAAGGGCAGAATAAAGATATTGTTTTCCCAAAATGGGTTACAAAAAGGATTTAAAACGGATTCAGAAGAGATTTTTTGTGACGTATGAATGTCTCTCGCTTAACTCAAAAATGAGTAGCCTCAGAACATTGAAATTTTGTATATAGGACTGCTATAACATGCAATTGTGCACCTCCGTTTTTGGTTGCGATCGGCCGCACTAAAGTATATTAATATATATACCCACTCTGTTACTTGGCTCTGTGAGCTTAATGTTTTTATTCTTATATGTTGGTACATTGTGCATTTTTTGCTTTAAAAATGATTGAATTATGTTGTTCTTATCTTCCGGTTTAGGTTTTTATGCCTTTAGTTTATCTGCATGCATTAGTTGTAGAATTATCAACAATTTAAAAGTTTTTTTAAGTGCGGCTAAGCTTTTTTTTTTTTTTTTTTTAAACCATAGCAGACATATTTGTTTATATTTACATTTGAAACAGGAGAATAATGAATTAAAACAGTTTCTGCACCTTCAGTGTCTTTTTGCCAAGTGGGAACAAAAGTAAACTTTCAGTTTTGTGCATAAAACAATATGCCTTCTTGCCTGCTGGCCAGATTACTTGTTTTTGCATATGTACTCTAATTTTAATTGTAAAAATTGTTTTTTTAATTGTTTAACTTTTTCTATATTTTTAAATTTTTAATGAAGATATTATGAGGTTTTTATATATTTTTGCGTTGCTGCGAAGTGAGAGTTGAATTAAATGAATGAGAAATCTAACAAACGAAAGTTTAAATGAAATGCAGCAAAAAATGTGTATAATTTGATATTGCGTACAAGGAAGATGTGTGGTGTCTGCATCAGATTTTTTTCTGTAGTGATTCTTGTTCTAATTGTTTCACAGTAACACATTTTATATTGACAAACATTTGAGGCTTTCACGTTCAGATATTTTTAATACATGATACATATATTATAACTAAGAAAAATACCTTTAATCCTTTGAACATTTTAATTAATTGTGTGATTACTTTAATAACTGCTATTATAATTTATATTGTGTTATTTTGCCATATGCAAATGTTAATTATTCCTTGATTTTAATATTTTTCTTATTCTAGGGAAAAATTGAAAAAGGATTATGAAGCATTAAAGGAGCGACTAGAAACTCTGCCAGACTCTCTTTCTTATGATGTTACAGTAAGTTTTTATTAGAACATTATCACTCTTTTTAACATGAATTAAGGATTATTTAAGATAAGAGCCAATAGTTGTTATGTGTATAAGTTTTTATTAGTACTTGTTGATTACAGTGGCTTTTGGCGAGAAATGGGAATCAGTGCATTTCAGTCTTGGCAAGAAACAGATCGTTACAGGTACACACAAGCAGTTCATTCAGTGTGTACAGTACATGATTTATTTAATATACAAGAGCAATTTAGTATGTATTTATCATTTTATTTAAAACAATTTTGTAAGCAATTTTTTTAAAATAAAGAGCATATAGAAACACACACTTTAAATTAATTTTAAACAGATTCTTTCTGGAGACCGTACTTCAAAATTTGTGAAACACATTGGGTATCCTAATGTGTTTCACAAATTTTGAAGTACACATTAGGATACCTAATGTGGTGCCTGACTGTAACTCCACTGAATAAGACTAAATATTTTGTAAAGGATTCTGAGCAAACTTCTCTCATATAGTTACATCAATCAATGTTTTTCAAAAATTGTTTTTCAAACACATTTTTTTGTATCGCCAAAAAAATATAGAAAATAAGTGGACTTGGCTAATCTTTGGAATATGGTAACAGGTAGTTTGACGACATTTTGATAAGGCAATAAAGGTTACTAGCTAGGACTGTAGCAGTGTACATGGATAAAGTCGAGTGTGCGCAATGCCATTTTTGTGCAATTCTGGGATGTTTTTTTAAGTGAAAATAGGACTATTTAAAAAGAGAAGTTCGAAGTATATTATAAAGACATTTTTATCCATTTAAGTTTGAATTTAACAGTTTCAGAAGCGATTCAAGTTGGGTGTTCCATGTAGTGGAACACTGAGCAACAAAGGGTTAACTGAACTTAGTGTTTTATGCTTTTCTGTATCTTTCAGTTTTGAATGAAAATATTTTGAATTTTTATGTATTTTTGCCTTGCCACAAAGTGAGAACAGAATTAATTAGTAGCGCATGCGCTGCGGCAAGTGGCGCTGAATCGTCTGTGAAAACTGTTTCTTTTTATTTGTTTAATTTCTTTAAGTTTCCAGAAACTGGAAAAAAAAATTTAATCTACCACAAAAAAGGAATGTGCCTCCATAATATTTGCTGTAAAGAAACTGCAATATTATTTAGATGGGCATACTAAAGTCCTCATCATGATCGATCGTAATCCCCTAGTTTGGCTCAAAAATAATGTGAGTCTAAATCCATGACTTATGAGATGGGTACTAGTATTACAACCGTACAATTACACGGTTGCTCATCGAAGTGGAAAAAACCAAAAATGTAGGCACAGTTAAGTCGTACTCCCTGGCCTGATTAAAGAATTTGTTTCCCTATATACAGAGTTGCCAACTCTCCCGATTTTCAACTGCTCTCCCGCCAACCCAATTTACAATATATTTCTCCCGATGTTTTCTTATTCTTAAAATTTCTCACGATTTTTATGGAACTTGGCTTAATACTTCATTATATGAACAAAAGAAAGGTGATTTTGGATGTCTCAAAGCAATTGAATTTTCTCTAGATTATATCTAAAACAAAACCTTGCGAATCAGATGAGAATTTCTGCTTTGTGAATGAGAGCATACGTATCCAGAAACGTCGTTCTCCAATTGGCATCGAGCTCCACTGCGTGTCCTCTGGCATATATTAGCCAATGAGCACAAAGCAAACAAGCTCAAGGCAGTTATTTAGATGTTCTTTAGTTATTTCGTTCATCTTGTCCTGAGTATGCCTTTGGGAAATAGTTTTAGAAATTATCATCTTTTGTTATGTCTGCGAGAAAAGTGAAATACTCGTGTACATTTCAAAAATCGAACACAATTGACTTTCCTTCCTTTATTTCCTCAAGGAAATGTAATAAATTTGCGATGTTTACCATCTGTCTTTGCGATTTTTCGATTTCGCATGGTGGAAGGGCGAATGTTCTCAAACATGTGTGAACACAAGGCCAACATAAGTTGTTTTGGAAAAAAAAAAAAAAAAAAAAAAAAAAATTAAAGTTTTCTTCGGAAACAAAGGACTAAAAAGTTATTAATGCAGAATGTCTGTTCTCTGCCTTTTTACTGGAGCCTTTTTCTTGTAATTCTATATATGATGTGATTTATGGTGAAATAGAAAATCAGAAGAAAGATGAAGATTTGGTAATAGGAACTGCAACTACAAAAGTAGTGGAAGAACTTTCAGAAGAAGACAAAAATAAGTTTTATCTTCATGTTAGAAGTTACTTCTGTTGAGTATGTGATTACATACTACATAAATTTCCAGTCAACGATGAAGTAATTTTTGCATGCTAAAGTTGCTGATGTTTCTGCTCTAGCAAGTACATCTTTTTATGATATAAGGTACGATTTGAACAGATTTCCTGTGTTACTTTGTTTAGTCATGAAAGATGATGATATTGATGTTGCCACTGATAAATATTGCAGTCGCAAGTTTGCAGTTTACAATTAGAAAACTTGGATGAAGTTATAAAATCAGCTAGGATTGACACCTAGTGGAGTTTAATTGGAAAACTGAAAGGTGCTGATGGAATTTTAAAATATACTAAACTGCCTAGAATTATGTTGGCCATCTTGACAGTTCCCCATAGTAATGCAGAGTATGAGAGGATTTTCAGTGCTGTGAAAACCGAAAACAATGACTAAATTTAGATCTAATATTAGTGATGACAGATTAGAAAAACTTTTATTAGAGAAAGCAGGCTTACGTGGCAATTGCCATGAACAGAATTATGAAGTTTCCTTCTTAACGAAAGCAAAATCTGCCACTGTTCATAACATTTGTACGAAAACTGATTAAAATGTCTCTTTTTTTTTTGTTTTGTTTTCTTAAACGATGCAAGTAATAAAAATGGTTTTATGTGTAAGGTATTTTTGTGTTGCTTGCATTAAGAATTAGTAACTATTTAAAGTTAATTCATTATTAAAAACTATATTTTTATCATTTAAAAAGTCTTTTTAACATTGTGAAAATTCTTCTGATTTCTTAAAAAAATCTCCTGATTTTTGAGTGTCATAGGTTGGCAAGTATGCTATATAGATAAAAAAATTGTTTTGTTTTTTCCTCTCTTCCTTACTGTATATTACTATGTTATATGTAGTATTTCAATTATGTATTGTGTTGATATTCTGCTGTTAAAAAAAAATGTAAACTTGAATTTATAAAAATATAAAGTTTATCTGGAGGGGTTAGAGGTTGTAATATTGTATTATTTAACAAATAACTATATTTATTATTGGAGTGACAATGCCATATTTGTATCATGTAACCATTGCTCAGCAAAGAAACTGTTATTCTGAAAGTTTTACCAGCTGGTAGCTGTATGAAAAATTTATAGACAAAAAAAACTGTAATAGTAAGCTGGAGTGTGAAGCTGTAACGGTTAGATTGAATTTAAATTATCTATATTTGTGAATTGAGAATAAAATTTTATGTTTACAAAGAAGCTCATCTATTATTTAGTTCAAAACTGTGAAATATGTGAAATGCTAGAGTGTGAAATTACCATAAGAGTGTTAAAATTTTTTTTCATTACCTCATATTATTTTAGGTTCCATTTGGTTCTAGTGCTTTTACCCTAGGAAAATTAGTGCACACAAATGAAATAATGGTATTGATTGGAGATGATTGGTTTGTAGAAGTTTCTGCCAAACAAGCAGTTTCTATTGCCAACAGAAGAATTTTACGTAAGTTTAAAATTAATTTTTGCAGTATTAAGATATCTTTTAGATTAGTAATAGTTTATATCTTGAGTTCAGAAAGGAAATATTTTTCTTATAATGACTATTGTAAAAAATTAATATACACTGTAACAGATGGCATGAGTCATTCTTCAAATGAGTACCTGCTCTAGGTCATGTGATGCAAGATTTGCCCGAATAATAGACCTTCAATTCCTTTTTTGTGGGTCATGTGAATAAACAAATTTTTGTTAGGACTTTAACTCTGCATGCTAGCAATGTAGCTTAATAAAATCTCTTGCTTTTATTCTTTTGTGTTTATTACTTTCTTAATAAATTGTGTTCGTCATACTTCATTATCTTAATTATTAGCCCCAAGGTGTTTTAGCTATACTCCTTTAGAAAAATATGTGTTATAACACTTATTTATATGAATAAGAAGCCAGAAAACTTATTCTGATGCTATACCTAAATTAAAAAAAGGGGGGAGAGGAGTACAGTTTTTTTACATTTGAAATATTTTTTGCAGAATCTGCAAAATATTTGGAATGCCATGTTAACATTATGTCATATTACACTACTAAGTACTTATCTCCTGCTTTGAGCATTGTTAGTGCCATTAACTAAGTTTGCTGAAACAGGTAGAGTAGAGTACACTACCAATGGTGAACAGTAAGAGGCTTATGGAAGATCAAACAAGACATTTATAAATGACACAATGTATATATGAAACTGTATAATCAATAGTTTAAATTCATATGAATTTTCTAAAAACTATTTGAAAAATTATTTAATTGCAGTTTATTCTGATGGAACTGGTGTAATGCTAGGAAGAAAATCAGTGGTTTCTTCTACAGACTTCTATGAAAATTTTCCAACATTAAAATTTGGATATCGTAATTCATCATTGTAATAACATTATAATTTGACATATAATCATCTAGCATTAGAAGATTCAATAAAAAGCATTAATGAAATATTTTTCAGAAATTATATGCTCTTTCTCTCATCATTCTTGTGAATCGGAGAGAACTGATAAAATTGTTAAAGATCTCGGTGTTGAAATATTAAAAATCAGCTGTGATTGGATCACAGTATATACATGACAATGGGCGGTGTGTAGTTTACAAACTGCTTTCGATGTCAGTTTGCATCCAATGATGAAGTTAGTTTTTTTTAACTGATTTAATTGAGCTCTAAATTTAAATAAGTTTCTAAATTTAAACTGAATCCTAAATCTGGAATTTTTAGAAAACTTGCTACTGATGACAGATATCTTAACAAGAATTATCATGCTTGATATCTTGTGATAAAAAATATTTAAAGTTAATTTTAAAGATTTTAATTAAAATATTTTCTTGTTTATGCACTATTACATATATTTTCTATTTTTGTGAAAATGTAAAGCGTTTCATAAGAATTTGATAATATATTTTTATAAGATAAAATGTGGACTCTTTTTTTAAAAATTTTCATAGCACTCTATTAGATGAATACTTTACTGCATCAGTGGCTAAAACTTATAAGTCATTAATGACAAATGGCATTCATGGTAATTGCTGAGTATAGGTTTGATGGTCACTGGTGTCCTTTAATTATGGATAATGGTATGTTTCGGTTTCATTTAAATTAAAAAAAGTACTTAAATTTTATGCATTGTCCATATGAATTCACAGCCTATAAGGTGACCAACAACTTTGATGGGCACTAATGTCCTTATGAATTCGCAGCCTATAAATATGCGTCACTAATGGCCAGCAGCTTTAATGGGCACTACTATCCTTCAGCTTCTTTTGTTTTTAAAATTTATTCATGTTTAATCCAATGTCCTACTTTTGTGACTTATGGGTTGACCTGAAGTAACTGTCATCCTTTAGGCAAGCAAGGACTTGAAGGGTATAGGTGTGTTTCATTTGAATTTTAAATTAAAACAATTACCATATACAGAGGGTGTTCACACATTTTTGTAACAATTTTGCAAAGATTTCTATGTAGACAAACCTTAGAATTTTATTTTATAATATGTTCAGTGTGATAGCCCTTTTGTTGAACTAACATATCATACCTTGATTTCCAAGATAAATGTTCTTTCCTTAAAACATCAAGTTTGATTTTATTCCACTCCTCCTTCACAATCTTCCAGAGTTCATCCAGTGTTTTGGGATGCTGCTTATAAAGAGCTTGTTTTAAAAGTCCAAATGCATAGTAATACATAGGAGACACTTTGGGCGACTTGCTTGGGATGCATTTAAACGGAATAACTTCAATTCTGGTTTCACTTCTCATTTTTTTCAAAAAATAGAGCAGTAGATTTAGAGGTATGGCTTGGAGCCTTATCCTGATGGAACTTAACAGAGTGAAGATTATTTGGCTAAAGAGATGGAATTTCTTCTTTAAAAATAAGTATTAAAACATATTTATGATAGTAATCAGAATTAATTTTGATATTCTTTTATGATAGTAATTCGAATTAATTTTGACATTTTTTTTACTTTCTTTATTTTATATTTTCTGTTGTAAGAGAACCCAGTAATAACCTAAAACCTTTAGAAAAACTTTCCTTGTTTTCTCTGAACCAGCATATTAATTCTTTTTTTTTTTGGCAGTAACTCAATCTTTTTCTATTGCAATCAAGTAAGTGTATCCAAACCTCATCAATTGTAACTATATACATTGTAGGATTCAAAAGTTATAGATTCAGTAGTCTATAACATAAAATTTTTTGCAGTAGAGCGACTACGAGAACGTTTTTGTTTTACTACGTTCTTCCCCTTTTCTAAAAGCGGTTTGTCTTAAATCATGTGGTTGAAAGCTCGTGGCGAGAGCATTTTCTGTAGACAAGTGCATTTAGTAACTGGCGATAGAAAGAAATGGCATCAGTTGAGCAGAGAATCAATATCAAATTTTGTGTTCGCTTAGAGTGCTACTGAGACTTTCGAAATGTTGAAGCATGTGTACGGAAGTGAAACGTTATCGAGAACCCAAGCTTTTGAGTGGCGTTGTCGTTTCAGAAAAGGCAGAGAAAGTGCCAAAGATGAAGAACGCTGTGGCCATCCTGTGACTTCGCGCGCTGATGGAAACATCAAAAAGGTGTCTGCGGCGGTATGTGCGAACAGGCAGCAAACAATTTTCTGAATAGCAGAATCAGTTGGGATATCAGAGGTCACATGTGAGTGGATACTGAACTAAGGATCTTAACATGCATAGGGCGTTTCAACACATCATTCCCTGCATGTTAAAACGTAGGCCAAAAGGGAATTCGAATGGAAATGGCGGGATACTTAATCTCGGCTATTGACAAAAATCCTTTTCTACTTGGTAGAATTGGAGATGAGAAATGGTGTTTTTTGTTCGACCCACAAAGTAAGAGAGCATCAGCAACGTGAAAATCACCACAATCTCCACGGAAACAGAAATTCCGCCAAGATCGCTCTGAAGGAAAGTGGTGAGGTATTCTTCGTGCTAGAGGTATTCTTCGATATCCAGGGCATTGTGCATCTGGAATTTATGCCTGAAGGACGCACTGTGAACAAAGAACTCTACTTCGAAATCCTGCATTGTTTGTGTGAGTTGAGGAAGAAGAGACCAAAAATGTGGGCTGAGCACTGATGGGTCTGTTGCACGATGACGCTCCTGCTCACCAATCCCTACTCGTCAATGACTTTATTGTGAAAACGAAAGCAACTGTCTTTACAGGCGCTGGCAAAAGTGTGTTGTTGCACAAGGGTCATATTTCGAAGGAGGATCTGTTTCTGTAATTTAATTCATAATATTTTTTATGTTATAGACTCAGTCTGGGAACTTTTGAATCCTACCTTGTATTTCCATTTTTCACCTGTGAAATAATTTTCAAATAGTAATATTGAAAATTATCAGTTGAGAAAACTGTTTTGGCGTTATGCGATTAACATCATGTTTGTCTTGTTTAGCTTTAAATCAGATTTTATAATTTTGTTCACAGTTCCTGCAGAGATGTTTAAAGATTTTGCAATAACTCTTTGGGGGCTGGATTTTCCTTTAAAACATGACACGTGACTTTAGGTTTAATAAGAGCTGTATGTACATTTGTTGGGTATGAATTTTTTGCCCTTTTTCCATTCATATGTAAACATTGACATTTCTTTCCTTTCATATTAATTATGTCACTTATTTTATGTGTGGAAATATTAAAAGCATGCTTTTCACATCTTTTTTTAATAATTTCTTTTTGGACAGTGCAAAAATATAGCCTTCGATCCATTGTTTATTTTTCAGCAACATTTTAAAGAAAAGAATATTTTTAATGTTGCAGGCAATAATTAAACCTTATTCCGATTTGATTGCCAGTCTGGTTTGTATTCTAAAATTAATACTTAAATTCGGGAAGAAAATCAATATTGTTACAAAAATGTGTAAACACACTCTGAATTCTAGTATATAACAACTTGGCATTTCAAATTAAATTTTTTTAATTTTTAGGTATATTCTTCATACGATGTGCACCCTTTTCTTTATGAAGAAACCTGAAATGTAATGTGCGATGCTCTTATCTTTTAAAGTCATTCATTCGAGGATTTTCCCCAAGCTTTTGAACAATAGTATACAGAATTCACAAGTGGTAAGGGGAACAACGTGTGTGTGAGGGAAATGCTTGAGAGAATAATTAATTATGCAAACAGGACAGGTTATATTCAGTGCAGGTGTGCAGAAGAGTGTTATTCTAGATTTTCGAGAAAAATGGGATACAGTTAGGGCTAAGAACACATTTCTGATCTGAATGAATTTGTGGAATTAGTAGTCAGATTTTTCTCTTTCTCCAGTCATTTGAAGCCATGATTTTGAAGTCCTCTTTGCTTGCTCTTTGTTTTCAATATAAATATGGTTGTGGCTCCTTCCAGTTTGTAGAGTTCTTTTGTTCCTGAATAAAAGGGATGTCTATATGCTCATGAAATGGATAGGTTTTGAGTGAGCTAGGATAAGGATGAGGCAAATGAAGCACTTGGCGGAGGTGAATAATTAGAAAAGATCCCAAATTAGCTGCAACAATTTAAATTTAAAGAAAGAAATTTCAATTATTGACTTATATTATTATTCATTATTCTACTTGGTAGAATTCAATTATTATATTATAATTATTGCTTATAATTTTGCATTATAAGCAATCTAGCTGAATTAAAAGAAGAATTAATAACATTAATTTATTAAAACTACTAAGATTTTACAGCATTATACATATTATTTTCTAGCATCAAAATTTATTATTAGAACTATTACAGGGTCTGTCTGGAAAGTAATGAAATGAAATTGGTCTAAAAATTTATTCATGATATCATTACAAACATTTAAAACTTTTCAAAGTATGCTATCATCAAATGTTCGCCAGCAACTTGTCCATTCACAGCACACATTGTGAAAGTCTTTAACAGGGATCTCATGCACAGCGTTTGTCACTTCTGTTTGGCTCTTTTCAGTGGTTCCGAGATGAACTTCTTTCAGGGAAGTATTGAAAAAAGAAGTCTGCTGAAACCAAGTGAGAACTGAAGAGGGGGGGGGGGGCTGGGGCTACGTTGCCAGGCTGGGTTTGGCCAAAAACTCCTAGATGTGCAGAGCAGTGTGGCTGGAAGCATTGTTATGGTGCAAGAACTAGGCAACACCAATCTTCTTTTGAGTATTTACGACCCTTTTTCTTAACCTGTTTAGTACTTCCATGTAGTAGGTTATAGTTAACTGTCAGTTTTTTATGACTTTTTTGTGGACCATAACCCTTGACAGCGAAGAACAATGAGCATGGATTTTCACTTTTGATTTGCTCGTTCTTTCCTTTCTGGGATAAGGGCATTCAGGAATGTGCCATTGGGAACTTGGGTAATTTGTGTCTGGTACTTTGCGATCATCTCTTAGTTGGTGTTGCGGTCTTCAGGACCAACCTGGCACACATTTTTTTCATTGCAAAATGTCATGCACATTGGTTTTTCATAATATTTAGAATCTGTGCTATCATCCTCCATCTTTTCCTGAACATTTTTAATAACTTCAACTACCTGGAAGCTGGAGAATAGGAGAGAGTAGAGTTCATGTAAGCTTCTTAAATCATTAACTGTGTGTCAGTGAGGCATTTTTTAAGTTTAACAGAGAACTTGATTTTGTAACATTGTTCACTAATTTTCTCTATCGTGTGTCATAACACAAACACTAACAAGAGGTTAATGGAAAGCTCGATCTTGCCGCTTCCAGAGCTTGGAGCAGAATGAGCTTGAAATCATTGTAACATTTAATCCAACCAATTCTTAGTGCTACCACCTGGCAAAGCAATCGAAAAAGACCAATTGCCTTACATTCCAGACAGACTTTGTATATTAAACTTAACGTATTTTTTTATTTTTTATTTTTTATTTTTATTTTATTTATTTTTTTATTTTTTATTAATGAATAAAGCTGCTTAGTCTAAACATTCCTAGAAAGCATCATGTTGTTAATAGAGGCAATTCTGTATTATCTCCCTTTAATTTCCTTTTTTGAGCTATTGCTTTTATTAATGTTATTTTGCCATAACTGGCTCTCTAAAATCTGTTGAATGAGTATGAATAGCAACACAACTGAGTACAGTTTGTTGCAACAGACTTATCGTATAAGAATCTCATTGCAATAGCATCAGGATATTAACTAAGAATGTTTAAAAATTAAATATATCATATTATCAGTACTAATTCAGAAGTCAAACAAGTCAGAAGTCATTATCAGTATTTTACTTTTTTTTGGATGTGTAAAATTTGCATATTTGTGTGTATGTGTAAAAAATGTGCCATTGAATGAGACACATGGTTCAAGGTTTTGTCTTGTATCCATACTTGGAGGCCTGTATACTTGGTTTATTTGTGGTTATATGTGGAATAGCTATCGATACATATATTGCTGAAAAGATTGGAATGCAAACATATAAGGAAAGACATGACTTTCTCTCTCTCTTTATTTTTTTTTGGGGGGGGGAGATATTCTGTTGTTTGTAATGAAACGATAAAATGAGTTGTTTACTATGAACATCAAATAAATAAAAAAGATGCTATTTTAAATTTTTTGTGGAGGTTTTAAACTGTTCTGGTTACTTTTAATATAATAAATAGTGACTGAAAAAAACATAAAAAGTTCAATTTTCTTCCACTGATTCTTTAACCAATAGAAAAAAAATATTTTAAAATAATACAGAAAATATTTCTGTAAAGCAAAGTATTTTCTGTAAAATCTGCTTTACAGAAAACAGAAAATATTTCTGTAAAGCAAAGTTTAGTAATTAATACAGATACTTACCTATTCTTATGTTTCATTCAAGTAGAACCATATAAAACAAGAGAGATTTATATCAGAGTGAATGGTAAAATATGTTCTGTAGGCAAATAGGGTAAAGAGAAAAGAAAAAATATTTGCATATCTGTAGATTATATATGAGCATATATGGAAACTAAAGAAATGAAAAGAAATTTTTCTCACTGTAAAGTTTCTCCTATGTTTCTTTTTAAAAACTGCATTCAGATATTAAAAAGCATTCCGTATTTCACATATTTAATTTAGGATGCAAATATTCGTAAATATATTTTTATAAGCCAGCATGTTTAAATAAAAAAAAATTAATAAAATAAAAAGTTATGTTCATTCAAGATTGATACCAAATAGAATGTTATGATTGTTTCATATGATATATTAAAAAACAGTTATGTGACATGGTGTTAAAAATAATAGGGTACTTACACATTAGGGCATAGCAATTCTTCAGGCAAGCAGTGTTAAAGTTTTCATGTGCATTCTTTTTGTTGTACTGCAATGGTTTTTATAGACAGACTGATATTTTTTTGCCTTAATTTCTATTTTAAGATATATGCTTGTGAAATTTGCCAGCAATGGAAAAAACTGTGGAAAATGTCTGCAGGAATACAGTGTTTTGTTGAAGAATCTTCAAAGGGAACAAATGTTTTGAATCTGTTATTAAAGCAATCGCCGTGAATTTTCTGCCTAAACAAAAGAAATTAAAATCAAATAGGTGTATTGATTGATTGATTTTTGAGATAAATATGTAATTAGAATTTAAATCATACATGAAATAATATTTTATATTTAATAAATAAATTTTTGCAATAGAGTGATGACTTACAGCGTCATTCTTTTCCAGTTTTTGTAAAAAGTTGTGAAATTGCGCCAAAGTGGTTGCGTTTATACGTGAGTACCAATAATAGACTTAAAAATAATATATGATATAGCAAAGTTCAGAAAATTATGGGTAAATCTTTTATTCTCTAATACTTTTAGGATAGTTTGAATTTTTAGAGCGACCCAGAATAAGGGCGCTGAAACTTTTAATTTTTATGAGTCACCATCTGTTTGTCCATGGCTAAGAAATAAAATAATGTAATGAAATGGTTAGCTCCCTACTGAGTCAAAAACATGCTGTGATGAATAAGATGGTCAACATTGTCAAATGTTCAAGTCAAATATTCTTGACTTCATATGTCAAGAATATTAATAAAACTAACCTGTAGTCATACGTAAGTTTTACCTACAGTGGAACTTTAAGATACGAGTTTAATTTGTTCCAGCATTGAGCTCGTATAGCAAATTTCTCGTATCTGAAAACAAACTTCCCCATTGAAAATAATAGAAATCCATTTAATCCATTCTGCTCTCCCCAACATAAAAATCAATTTTTCTAATAAATAACACTGGAAATTAATATAACCGTAGTTTACCTTTTTTTTCCCGCATTAACTGCTTCCAACACCGAATAGCCTTTTAACTGCTACTCATTAATGCACACCAACAATAGCTTCTCAACATCTTATAGGAGTTTTGGATGGTGCTTGGAAGTAATGTATAGTTCAACCGTCTGAAGCGCAACACTGGTTGGCATTCTGCCAAAACACATAGACTCGTCCAAAAGGGGCGGTATCACTTGCTGTGACGTGAAAGGTCTTCTCTTCTCTGGAAAGAGCTATGCTGGAGGGAAAGGAAGTCTCCATCCTTCCACCCTATTTTGAGAATAATTTGGTCCGAATGGTGCATGCGTGTTTGCGGATGAGGCGGTCGAACTATAATTACTTTGGCCACATAAAGTTTCTTAATTTCTTCCTCCTTCTTCAGAATAAAACAGATCGTCGATGTCAAACAGCCGTAAGTCTTTGCCAATTCCGTCATTCTTACACCACGCTCATGTTTATCTATGATTTCGTTTTTAATTTCAACGGCAATGGCTTCCTTCATTTTTTTTGCAGCATTATCTGAGGCAACAATCTTCTTGGAAGGCATTGTGAAAAAATTATTTTCACATTAAATGTAAAAAACAATTAACTCACAAGCACACAAACATGTAGATGAAAGAACACTGAGTGATCTGACGAGGGGATTCCCCGAGTCGAGCCGAATCAGGAAATAGTGCCATGCATACCAACAGCCTGGCTGATTTTGCTCATTACTCGAATCAATGCTCGTATTTAGAGACAAATTTTTCGCTCATATTTTCCTCGTATCTCAAATTTCTCGTATATAGAGCTGCTCGTATCTCGTGGTTCCACTGTACTTTAAACTGCTTAAAACTGATTTTTGTAATAATTCTTAACTGTGCAAAATAATTATATTTTGATAAACAAACATTCCTAGGGTGTTCAAAGATGTTGGAAGATTTCCACCAAGAAAAGCAGTTGCATGAAAACGAGTTGAACTATTTAAGTGAAGAATATGTACGTATTGTATGAATTTTATTTAAAGAATTTAAATATCTTTTAAAGATTATTTTTAGTTGAACATATTATTTTTTCATATTTTAAAAAAGCAGTATTTTTTTTTTTAGCATAATGGAGAGTTTTTAGACATTGTGGAAAATTATGATGAAGAGGAGGAGAGAAAGTGGAGAGGTAAATTATTTCTCCAACTATGCAAATGTTGCTTAGAATACTTCTATATCAGAAAATTTGTTTTAAGGCAAGCCTTTTGAAAAATGGCTTTAATTAATGACATTGTGAGATATAATTGCGTATGTATTTTTTAAAAACAACTCCACTTAAAATTTCAGTTGTAAGATAAATAGCCATCCATAAAAAGAATTAAGAATGGCATAATCATAAATTTCTGGAACTTTCCGATGAGGGTCGAACTACTGTTACTTTGCACTAAAATTTAAAAAAAAAAAAAAAAGGGGGGGGGAGATTTGGAATCCTAACCATTTAATTTAATTGAATATTTGGAACCTAAAAGCATTTCAGCACTTTAGAAAGATTAATTTTATTGATATCTAGTAGAAGCATTTATTGAAACAAAACAAAATAGAGAGAGAAAGGAGAGATGGTTATAATTTCAGTGGGTATTGATAACCAGTGTCAATTAGTGGCAGGCATGAGTGCCTGATTTCTTTCATTTTCAGGAGATAATTCAGCATTCCATAATTAGAATTAATTTGTTTTAGTTCTTAAATAATTCCTTTCCATTTGCATTAAGTAAAAAAGATTCTGGAAGTTATTTTCCGTTTTAAATTAATCTGAAAATCAACTTTTGGATTTGAGAGTTTTGATTATGTACGTCATTTACTAAATTTCATTTGTAGATTTTTAATAACCATAGGTTTATTTACAAAAATTTTGTATACTTAAATTTATGTTCATTAAACACAGATTTCAAGTTTGGGTATAATTAAAATCTATTAATATTAAATAAAAGCACTTTCCCCTCTCTTTCTTAATATTCTTATATGAAAGATTTGAGATAATCAAAAATTTTTAGAATACGAAAGAAAGGATTTTTTTCCCAGTTTTTTACTATTTTTAGTAAAGAATATTTTTCTATCGATGTATTTTATTTTGTTGAGCTTTATTAGCCTATGATTTTTATGCGTTTCCAAACTTTGAACAAAAATCATTCGTTTTTTATTTCATTGTGAAGTTATAACAATTATCTAATAAATCAGTTTGATACATAGTAGATTAGGTTCTGATTAATGATCATAAAGAATCATTTAGCATGCTAAAATATTAATACAGCAGTGAACACTGCAAAAGTCATCTGGGAAAACTTGATTCTTAATCCTCATATCCATAGCATGTTTTGGACATTTAAAATTGTTAAAACTTTAAGTTTCAGATCAATGTAAAATACCATAAACAGCATAAAAAAAGGTAAAAAAATATTGTAACATGATAACAACTTTAAAAAAAAAAAAGATGCTGAATTTCTGAAAACACTTGCGACATCTTTGGAGTTCAGTAGAACCCAATTTGAATATACTAATAAACGGCTGCTAGTTTAAAAAAGTCACAAATTATTACAAAAAATGTAGTAATAGTAGGCCAGGAAAAGGAAATATGAATTGCTTATTGCAGTACTAGATAATTTTTATCTAATTTAAATCTTTATTGTTAAGATTGAATCCTAGAAATGATGAATGATTAAGCTTCAAAGCATAATTTTTAAAATTTGGATGAGACTTACTCATGTCCAAGGTATAAAAATATTTTGAAATTTTTTATTTGAAGTCTTCTGAAGAAATTTCTTTACAAAAATTATGCTGTATTAGAAGGTTGTATATAGTTTAAATCATGAGAAGTTCATCACGAAAAACATGCAACTTCTAACTGGTAAGTGATATCCGATTTGCTATTATATAAATCAATTAAATTTCTTGAAGTTTTTTTCTATTTTCATGTGTGTTCTAGTTAATAATTTCTTTCAGTAGCTAAAAGTATATGAAAATCACCTTCATGTATTTGAATTTAACAAACATTCTCACAATGCGCAATGAATTGGAAGTTGATCTGTAAGCACTATCCTTATCTTCAGGGCAGATGTTTTTATTTTATTTGGCTTATAATTCATTACTAAATGTAGTATTTCATCTCAGTGTACTCCGTCTTTGATATGATTTAAATCAAGTTCCTCGTCATTATAATTCACTTCCGATAGTGAAGAAAGTGACACAGAGGTTATTGAAAACGAAAAAATTTCGATTGACAAATTAGTTGGTATTCTCGACACTGCAATTATAGGACTTGAACAGCAGAACTTTGTAACTAAACAAGAAATTATGTCTGTTTAATAGAATTAAAGAGAAAGTATTATCACATGAAACGAAGCAACTTAAATAACTTACATTGAAAGAAATATTTAATAAAGTAAACAAATAAATATTAAGCTTTTACTTTTTGGAAATTTTGATACCCTTTAGATCATAATTGTTCTTTATTTCATAAATTACGGTTTCATATTTTTAATTTTATAATTTCTGAAAAGAAATAATGCCTTCTTACCAGATTTAAACTGATGATCTATAATCCGGAATCGCCGAAGTCCCGACGAGTCTGGATTAACGACTTTTGACTGTATAATTTTTGTCGAAATATCGAAAAGTAATTAATTTCCCTTGGCTCCTTTATTTTCTATTTTTTCACTTGCTATTGCTAAATGTAACTGTGAGAAGCAGTTAAAATATAAAATATGGATACTAATATTAAATAGGGGCAACCCACAAAACTTCTGCTTTTATTTTATAGTTTTGAAATGTGAATCTGTGTGTAATTTTTGTACTTACAGTGCACAGAATGATGATTAATGCATATTAAAAAAAACTTAGTTTCTTTGCTATAACTGTTGGGATAAAGGTAATCTTAGTAAAAAACTGATTTTGAGCAAATCAAAAAAGAAAATCCTCTTTCTTTGTAAATACTGTTCTGTATTAAACATGCTATTCACTTGCAGTTCATATAGTTAAAATGAACATTTTGATTAAGTTTGATGTTCAGTATGTTTATATTGATCATAGTTTTTTCCTTTTTGAAGGATATTATACAGTACAAAGTCCGAGATCCGGACGTCCAATATCCGGAATGATCTCAAATCCGGACCCCAAAACTGGCAACAATTTTTTTTTAATATGTGCTTTATGCATATGCATTTGATTTCCCTCCCCCCACAGATAAAACATGTGGAGAGTCCTGATTTTTAATTTCCCTTCGGCACTAAATAAATACCTCATTATTGAAGAAACAATAATTTAGCATAAATTTGTGTGAGCAATAATTTGGCTCCATAGCTGCGATCTCAAACCAAAACATTCTATATAGAAACATCGTTGATTTTACTCCTGATAATACTTTATATCCCTGACGCCAATCACCACATGTTTATCAACACATGACAACTTGAGCAATGACTCGTACAGGCGATGCCCAAACAATTTTTTTTTAAAGTATTAGTACAAAGAGTATGGTAAACTTTTATGCTGACATTCTTACGCTTGGCAATGATTACAGATTTATCTTAAATGCGCTAAGAAATATTAACGAGGAAAAATTTAACAAAAGTTTCTTTCCATATGCTTGATGATATTCATAGGCCATAAGATTACATTTACTGCTAAAGAATAACTGATTTGTTTTTCACGTAAACCCAGAACTGGTGCCAGAGCTCGTATGGCTGCACCATGCGGCAGAATTTACCGAAGACAAGATTTTTGGAATTTAGAGAAGAACCGAGCAACAAAAATTAAAGGATGAAAATATTTTTAGAGTTTAGGGAACGCACTATGACCCAAAATTTACGGGCCACAAAAATTTAGAACTTGGGCGCTTGTTAGCAGAATTTAGTACCTGCAGAGACTGCATCAGGCGGTAAGATATCTAGCGCTGGTCCTCAAAACGCATTAAGTATATGTGGGAATTTATTTATTCAGGATTCAGATCAGCCTTAAGCATGTGCAAGAAATAGATGGAAGTATAAGAAATAACTTAAGTAATACAATCAGGCTTGTATAAGAAATAACTTAAGTAATACAATCAATAGTATAAGAAATAACTTAAGTAATACTATCATAGTATAAGAAATAACTTAAGTATAAGAAATAACTTAAGTAATACAATCAATCCATTGAATTTTTCCTTGATTCTATCGCGCATTGAGACAAGTGATGATGTCTCAACGCGCGATAGAATCAAGGAAAAATTCAACGGAAAAACTTGTCTTTTGTCCCCAGTCTCATGACATATAGCCAATAATGTGTATAGCGGATGCTATTAAGCAAGGCTAAAATAATACTTTACTGATTCCAAGGAATGTAAGCCAATATAGCAGATTGCGCTGTTCCTTAGCTTTCTGATTTGATCCAGCTCAATTATTTCTTCTAGACTATTTTTATTACAGCAATTTGATGAAAATTAAAAGTGACAGCTTTTGATCATGTCGAAAAGAGTTTTTAATTATGCAGCTGTTACAGGATCTACAAAGCAAAAGTATGTTTCGATGTCCATTATACAAAATGTAGAATTGCTGCAAAAAATGGAGGAAGGAAAATTATGTGAGGAGTATGGCGTTGGATAGTTAACTGCATATGACATAAGATAACAGAAAAAGGAACTTTCTGAATTTTTTGTGGATTCGGGCACCCTGCTTGCGATGAATAACAGAAAAATGATTCGTTATGCTAAAAGTCAAGATCATGGCAAAGTGATGATTGAATGGGTCAGACAGTGTTGCAGCGAGGGCGTACCATTGACAGGTCAAATGCTATTGGTGCAAGCTAAAATATTTCACTAAGAAATGAACTTAAAAAAAAACTGAGTGCACAAACCAAATTTAAAAGTCGCCATGGTATAAGGTAATTAAGAATTTCAGGTAGAAAAGCTTTAGCTGATACTGAAGCTGCTGAACTATTTGGAAATGAATTCATTGAACTCATTAATAGTTAAAAGTTTTCTCCAGAAAAAAATTTACAATGCTGATGAAACTGGTCTTTTCTGGCAATACGCTACTGCAAAATAACTTGGAAACTGGACTAGCAATTTTAGCACAAATGCGGCAGGAATGCATAAGTGTAAAGTTTTCGTAATCGAAAAAAATTCCAGACTTTCAGCATTTAAAGGTGTAAAAAGTT